CTGTGAGCCCTTTCATGTTCCTCTCCAAGTGTTCTCTTGTTATGCTAGATGTATGATCACCATGGAGTTTAAAATCAAGCGTGCTCTTTATGGGGAACTCCTGCAATCAATTTAAGAAAATTATGAGAGCATAATTAAGAGAAGAGATTAAATTAGCACTTGTATCTTTCAAATGATGAGTTAATTATAGGACAATATTTATATCAAATTACTTATATCTATTATATCAAGTTTTCCAATCACGCATGGTCATATGTCCTATTTTTAAAATTTTATTATTTAATAGCATTTAATTATAAATTCCTATTATGAAACCGAAAAGGAAATGTAATCATGTGTGATTGGAGAACTTGACATAATAAATATAAGAAACTTGACCTTAAGTTTTCCCCCCAGTGCCATGCAACAAGAGAAAGTTAAACACCGAACATATTTATGTTAAAATTTAATCACTTTTCCTTACTTGAAGGAGGCAGATTAAAAGCGGATTCACACCAGCAAGCATCTCTCGTGCAAATTCTTCATCCGTCATCCATCCATCTAGATTATCTGTTCCAAATAATAAATATTTAATTTATAAGATTTCCTTGGAAAATAATATTGAATGCTAAGAAATGAGAGCTCAATTAGATAGATAAATATAGTCACCTTGAATGATACCAGGAATTGGAAACAATAATTTCAGGTCGCCATTTTCTGGGGGCGTTGGTATAGGTAGCTTCTCAGCAATGGCTTTAAGTACCTCTATAGGCACATTAAATGTAAAACCATCTTTGTACAGTACTTTAAGCACCTGTTCAAAGCTTTCAAATTCTTTTCCCGATTTCTCCAATTCCGCTGATACATATTGTTTCATAAGGTTCATCGATGATTTGGGAAAATATTGCACAAACTCAAACAGCTTCTGGTCTCCAAATCGATCATCCTTTGGAACATAGATCGAAAAGGCTTGGTCTGGAGGGAGTCTGCTCTCAGTGCTGGGATCTGCCTTCACAGATTTACTTAATGAGTAAAAAGTCATAATTAATTACATCTAATTGCTAGATATAGTTAATACAACAAAAGCTACTGAGGTGGAAGTACCATTAAAAGGGAGAGAATCCAAATGCGGACCTTTTCACGGCCCTACTTTATCTAATGCAAGACTTTCTTACTTTTCTTCCCGTTACATTAAGTCTACTCATAACTTGAATTCCCAACAAAACTTACGTTAAGGAGAATAATAATTAAGTCATAAAAGATTAAATATTTTATCTGCAATTGAAACTTGGATACTTTATCCGCATTTGACTCCTGAATTTGCGACTTACTTTTAGGAAAAAATTATCAGAGAGCTAACTGTGATTAAATCGACCTTTTAGAACTTAAATCTATCATTGTCCCCGTTGCATTTGAAGTCTCACCATTTTTTGATGGGCCCTTCCAGTTCTGAGCCTACGGGGGTAGGATATTGCTGGATCCTCCAAGAGTTGGACGAGCAAGATCTGGACTTGCATCAACATCGCCCAAGTCATTGTAGGTAGCATAATCATAGATTCTATCCCGTTCTTTGCGAACTCCATCACCTTCAATTTCATCTGTATCTCCTCTTAAAAATTTCAGCTCTTCTTTTCGGTATGCACCCACTAGTCCCGGTGTTTGGCTAGGCAGGTATGACTGAAATATTAAAAGAGTCACTCAATCAGTATATATGAATTGTTCCAAGTTAAAGGAATAGATATAAGAGAACCTGCAGGAAGGAAATGTACATACGTACGTACCTTGTTGATGAAGAAGATACGAGGGACTTGTGTATAGAGGTTGGATATTGTGTAAACCCAAGTGTTGCAGATGAAATGAAGAGGCTCAGTGGTAAGATTGGGAATGGGATGAACAGTGAGGCTCACAAGGAATATATCATAATCAAGGAGCAGAAACATAAATGCTTCGGGAATTCCTTTATCCTCGGACCAATGAGAAGTCAAGTCGTGTGAATATTGTTGGGTACCCAAGGAGGCCGACATTTTGCTGCTGATACCATCTTTCCGAGCATGGCTTTCATACTTCTGCATGTTTTTCTGATCTGCAACATATGCTCTTTTCTTTGCAACATCGTCGCCTGCAATTAGATTCACAGTGAATTCGATTCATAATGGCAAAGCGGAATAGAAATATAATTATAAGGACTTGGTTAAGAGTAGATACATATATATAAGCACCTGTGGAAGAAGGAGGGGGTTCTTTAGAACCGACAAATTGGCCCGCCATGACGAGGCGTTCAGCCCCAGAGCCGGAGGCGACAATGGTGTAGTTAAGTTTCATGATTCGTGGTGGAAGCTAATTAACTAAGAGGAAAAAATCAGAGAAATTGCTGCTAGATGAGGGTGATGAGCAAAGAGGATAACAAGTCACGGGTATTTATAGAGAGACATGTGATGTGATCAATAATGGAGTTAATGGAGAAAATTTTTTTATTTTTTTTTTAACCTGTGTAACTCCATGCATGCATTTGTACGAAAGCTACTATATGCCACAATTTTCATGAAACTCCTAATCGAACCAGTAAGGAAACCGGTTCATTAATGTAATTGGCAGACTCGAGTTAAGTTTTAATACTATGTTACATATAGATATTGGTGATGTGATATATGCAACCAAAAACAAAAATATTTTGCAGTGTGTGTTTTTCAAAGTTATTTTGAAGTTCCCTCCAAAAACAATCAGACTTTAATGTTGTGCAGTTAATACTTATTTTCACAAAAATAGGAAAACCACGTTATATCTACTTTGGACTTGTTTGCATCTCTACTTAGTTTAAATACTTATAAATACTTTTACATAAGCCGCCGAGACAAAACTATGTTTGCCATACTTACCTTGTGCTTTTAATCAGACAAGCTCTTTATCTTGTTATATACTTGTCTCCAATCGTTGCCTCCCACACGGTTTTGGGATCATCAAGATATTTTTTAAAGCATATCTTCTTGTTCATGTTCTGTCAAATAAATATCAAATCCTCGTATATATAAATTTTCCTTGGATAATGAGTGACAAAAGTTTCTGGTGAAGTGTTTGGCTCTGCTCAGTGGTCCAATGAAATGTAATTCCTACTCTTGGAAAACAAGTGAGAAATCCAGCTCCACACATTACGTCGGTGGTTGGCCACGGCGAGGATATTAAAGTCCCAAACTGAGATATGTTTGTTATGAAAAGACGAGGACAAGTCTCACGTTGAAAGATTTATTATTGGTGAGAAAGGTTTGATGCATGTATTTTTATACGTAGAGAGTATTAGTATCCTTGCAGATTTTGTATATAAACATATTTTTATTTAGATCCTGTCAATTTTCTCTTTTCTTAAAAAAAACTGAAAAGAATAAAGTAAGGTTCTTAAGAGTTAACCCTCTTAGGATTAAATTAAGTTTCTTTTGTGGGCTGTACCAAACTAACTTCATAATAAGAGGGTTGGTGAGATAAGAAAAAATCACCAAAAAAAAGACCTTCAAAATTAAAAAATTGCATACAGGGACCTGTTTACAAAAATTATTGTTATTTACTTATCAATTATTGTCAAAACTCATACTAATATTGTAACAGGTTCCTATTTGTAATTTTTCTATTTTTAAGGTCTTTTTTTGTGATTTTTTCATAAGATAACCTTACTTTATCCTTTTCAGTTTTTAAAAAAGACAGAGAAAATTATTTTCAATCACGTGACGGGCTGGAATTATTTTTTTAGGGGCAAAGAATCGGCTGGATTTTTGTCTCACACATATGCAGATGAGTATTATTGAACCACTCACTTTGGGCCGAAAAAAGTTTTGGACCAACTACTGACTAGAGCCACAGAAACTTTTGTCACTCATTGTACAAAATACGAACTGTCATTAAACAGGCCTAGTAGAAAGAATTACTTCGTTGTAGTATAACAAATTAAAGTTTAAATTTTACGTAAAAGAAATATCTATATTTAACACTTGATAGTGTCTAAACTTTACTACTTATTTGGTTCTTACCATAAAAGTTGCAATAATTAATCTACAGCTATTAGTTATTCTCTCTGATTTTATTTATAAGCTTTAAATTTTAAAAAGGATATGGTTCATTTTGTAAATTTTTATTTTTATTTATTTTAACATTTACTGTGTTTTTTTAATTTTGCCTTTAATTGTTTATTCTCTTTCATTTGTCATAATCTCTGTTATCACATTTTTCCACACATTCTTCTTCATCTATTTTCTCATTTATTATAAGAACATACTTAGAAATAAAAATATATTTATAATATATTTATTACTTTTAACTAATTTTAAATAATTATTCGTTATCCATAAAATAATTATTTTAAAGCTTATAATAAAGATGGGTTGATTTTCATAAAGTACCGCTTCCAATAATTTACATTAGATACTACAACCGGGATTGAAAAAAATCTTAATATGTGCAATTAATAAGGAAAATTTAGACAGAAAATTATTAATTTTAAAAAAATAGTTTGGGATCTTTTATAAGCAAATCCCTCTGTTAACTGTTAAAAAGTAATTTTATTTTAAGGATGTAAAGCGTGGTTGGACCATGGATTACATAACAGCTCAATTCTTGTTTGTGAGTGCCAACAGAGGTTTTAAGGAGGATATAGGATTTAATGTGGCCTTAAAAGGATAACATATATGGTGAAGTAAGAGGGAAATAAATTATAGGGTGTCAAAGGATTATGAAAATTCACATACTCAGACTCTCTAGCATTTAGCATTTTTCAGGTTTTCAAGCGTCATTTTTCATTAGAAAACTTGAGAGATAATTAAAAGTTTTGATTGAAAAAAAAAAAACAGAGAAATATTTAAAAGCGAATTAAATTATAAAACTAGTTTGGAGCATCTCGTCACCCATAGTCAGTATGCTCTTGTCCTGCTTCTTTTGTGAGATTCCACGCAATCAAACGGTCTCTAATTAGATGCTTTGACTGTCTTTTCACTATCTATAATAATTCACTCTTATTTTAAACTCATCTGCGAGTATGATTTCTCAAAGGAAAAGGTAGTATTATTTATGCTTTCAAAACGAGACCCAAATGGAACACAGTACAAAGGCCAATACAATGACCTGCCCACATTACAAGAGCCAAATACACACACACATACGACCCCTTTTAATTTTGCCAAACGAGACACATTAACAAACAACGATAATCCAAATAGAACCCCTAGTTCCTTACATACTTAAAGGATGCCCAAGCGACTTCTTCATATAGAGATACTGTTTGGAATTCCTCTTCCGGTGAGTCCGGGTTCACTGCTAGGATAGAGCAGGGTGTAGGGCATCATCACTGGCCCAACTCTATTTCCCAGTGTCCCATCTTCGTTCCTCCTTATCAATACTTTCTCAATCTCTTTCAGCCTGTCTCCAAATTTCTTAAAAGCCTCCAACACTTTAGCATCAGATGTCCAGTAAGGGATACTATTGGTTCCAAGATAAACCTCATCAGTGGTATGGCTTGACAGTATCTCTATAATTGACAGATCAAGAAGAGTCTCAAACTTTGGTGTGATTGTTTTTAAGAAAGCTAGCTCTGGATTCTCCACCATCTCGGCATATTCTTGAGTTCCCTTCTCAGGCATCAACCTTCTGCTGAGAGTAGGACGGTTTAAGATATAACCTCCATAAGGGTACTGTCCAAAATTCACAGCTGCATGCAGAGCTGAAGCTATCCATATGATAATAGTGCAACAGTGGATTAGCTCTTGACGAGTCAGCATCTTTGGCCACCAGTCCTTGTCTTTAAGGTCACCGTGACCTACTTCTACAAGTTCTTTCCACCATGATTGTAGCTCAGGATCCTGCTTAATGATCTCATCTGACTCGTAGTAATAAGAGACATAGTCATGAACCCAAGTCTTTATAGCATCCCATATCAGGAGCCCATCTACAGCATAAGGGTAGTCCTCTATCAGAAGGCGAAGCCCATGCGGAGCAGTTGGATCCTCCACTGCCATTCCTCTGAAATTTTTTCCAATAATTGTTAGTAAGTTATCAACTTAAGGATTATATGCTTTTTTTTCTTTTAAAATAATACTCTATAGTTTACCTCTTGATGAGATCAGCAGGTAAGGCTTGGTCAAGAAAATTCCAACTCTTGTAAACCACAGATGACATCTCCATTGAATATTTTCCAGGCAAGAATGAGTTCTCTATAATTCCATCTGCAGAGATTAAGTTTTGGCGAGCAAGTGCATTGATAAACAAGGTGTCATGATAATGAGGATGAAGAAGTTTAAACATAGGGTGCAGTTGACTGAGTTGCCTATATGTTGCAATAACAAACGGCTCCATCACAGCATGAGTATTCAGCCTGAGAAACCAAAAATTAAAAAGAAGAATGAAAATATTAATCATTGTATTAATTGGAGAGGCCTTCATGATTTGCATATTTTATAACTGAATGTATAATTACTAAGGGTGAAAAAACTGTTTACCAGTGACTGACTAGTTGATGATAGCCTGTGTCATTCACAACTACATATGCTTTAGCCAATTGCCAAATGGTACCCACAACACCTTCCGTTTCAGGCAGATACACTTTGCTGATAGCACCAAACTGATCTCCATCAGGATGAGGTAAACTAAGCTCAATTACAAGTGGCTTCAAAGTCCCATCATTTTGGAGGAACAGGATTGTCCTACTTGCATAAGCCTTTCTGGAAGTTTCATTGATCTTCCTCAAGTATGGCATGAATGCGTCGTAGTGATTTAATATGAATAATCTCTTGGAATTCAGTGCCTGCATGCATCAATCAAAGCTTAAATGGTATTCTTTCAGATATAAATGCTAAACTCCTTAATAAGACGAAGACAATAAAATTGCATTTCTAATTTCACCTCTTGAACTGTGAGCCCTTTCATGTTCTTCTCCAGGTGTTCTCTTGTTATGCTGGATGTATGATCACCGTAGAGTTTAATATCTAGCATGCTTTTTATGGGGAACTCCTGCAATGAATTTAAGAAAATTATGAGAGGATAATTATATTTAGAGAAGACAAATTAATGGTTGCATCTCTCATATATGATCACTTTAATTTTCTTACTTGAAGGAGGCAGATTAAAACGGGATTCACACCGGCAAGCATCTCTCGTGCAAATTCTTCATCCGTCATCCATCCATCTAGATTACCTGTTCCAAACATTATATATTTAATTTGAATGACTTCTTCGGAAAAATATTAAAGGCTAAGAAATGAGAGCTTAGTTAGATAGATAAATATAGGCACCTTGAATGACACCAGGAACTGGAAACAATAACTGCAGATCGCCGTTTTCTGGGGGCGTTGGTATTGGTAGCCTCTGAGCAATGGCTTCAAGTACCTCTATGGGCACATTAAATGTAAAACCATCTTTGTACAGTACTTTAAGTACCTGTTCAAAGCTTTCAAATTCTTTTCCTGATTTCTCCAATTCCGCTGATACATATGGTTTCATAAGGTTCATGGATGATTTGGGAAAATTTTGCACAAACTCAAACAGCTTCTGGTCTCCAAATCGATCATCTCTCGGAACATAGATCGAAAAGGCTTGTTCTGGAGGGAGTCTGCTCTCAGTGCTGGGTAGAGCTGGGAAAACGGGCTGGCCCGCGGGTTGCGGGCCAGCCCGCCACAACCCGCGGGCTAAACGGTGCGGGTTGCTTCAACCCGTATTTTGACGGGCTGGCAAAAGGCCAACCCTAACCCGCCATAGCGGGTTGGCGGGCTGGCCCGCCAGCCCGCCAATTTTTTTTTTTTTTTTTTACGTTTTTTTACAGCATGTTTTTGAAATATAAATTTATCCAAACTATCACCAAAATACAATTATAAGTTATACAATCTAGATTTGATCAGCAAATCCAACACATAAACTAGAAACATAACCTTCAAGGCTTCAACAAGTCTTAATCATACAAAGTTTTCAAACAAAATAAGTCTAATCTAATGATTTTCAATCTGCAATAATAACATTAGAAGCAATATCTGAAGCATCCAAAAGATCAACATCAACAATGTCCTTCTTCTTGGTGTCGGACTCGGATGTATCTGCCACATATAAAAAAAAAAGTGTTAGCATATTTACTACTATGGTGAGCTTAATATATACAAAACAAATATATTACCACTAGGAAAACCAAGAATCCAATTCCGAGTGCAAATAAGAGCTTGAACATTTTCTGGAAGAAGAGAACTTCGATATTTTGTGAGAACCCTTGAACCAATGCTAAAAGCTGATTCGCTGGCAACTGTAGTAATTGGAATACTAAGAATATCACATGCCATCTTTGAAAGGCATGGAAACCTAGCTGCATTAGTCTTCCAATATTCCAAAACATTAAATTTCACAAACAAATTAGGATCAAGGGGCACTTCTTCCAAATAATAGTCTAACTCAGACTTTTCAATTGATGTGGCATCTTTGCTCTTACATGTAAGATATTTCTGCAGTATTAATCATTAAAATAAAGAATTAGTAAAAGCTAAGTAATGAAAAGGGACAGCAAAAAAGACATTTAAGTCATAAGTATTAAAGAATTTCAAACCCACCCTAAAAGCTTTCAAGTAGGTGGTGCCTTCATCATCACTATCATGAGAGGTAGAGTCAGAAGGTGGTGCTGCCATCTCAGTTCTCACATTGAGATTAGAAGTTGAACTTGATTCTCCAACAAAAGGGACCGAAGATGAAGTTGATGATCCCATATTTCTATAATAATTGAAAACATAGTATAACTTGCTCCTAATGTTTTCAACCTTATCATTATAATTGATGGGATCAAGATTTGAGTAAGAAAACTTTATGACATCAAACTTCATTCTTGGGTCAAGAACAATCGCTAGAGAAAGAATTACACTATAATCACTCCAATATTTGTCAAACTTCTCAACCATTCTCACAGCCATATCCCGAATCACTGGATCTTCATCATCCAAATGTGATTTTAACATTAACTCAATTGTAAATATCTGCATGAAATACATGTTAGCAGTGGGATATGATGAGCCAGAAATCATGTCTGTTATCACCGCAAAAGGCTCTAAGAATGTGCACATCTTTTCTGCTCTAGACCACTCTTCATTTGTTGGACAATAGTGGTAATGGGTTCATGAAAAGCTAAATTAACAAAAGCACGACGATATCTAATAGCACTTTCAAGCATTGTGTATGTTGAATTCCATCTAGTCGGTACATCTAGCCTCAAACCCATTGAAGTTTCAATACCCCCAACATTGTCACAACATTTCTTGAAATTAATGAACCTTGCCTGTGATTGCTTTACATATCTAATGCTCTCCCTAATTTTATGCATAGCATCACTTGTTACTTTCAAGCCCTCCTGCACTATGAGATTCAAGATATGGGCACAACATCTCACATGGAAAAACTCTCCATTGCAGATCAAGCTATTGGTCAGATTCAATTGTTCTTTCAGCAAATTTTGCATATTATCATTTGCTGAAGCATTATCCAAAGTAATAGAAAATACCTTTTTATCAATCCCCCAATCCCTCAATATATCATGTGTCCTTTTAGCCAATTCAATCCCAGAGTGAGGAGGATCCATCTTAGAGAATGCAAGGATTTTGCTATTAAGCTTCCATTTATCATCAACAAAATGAGCAGTCAAACAAAGATATCCTTCACCAGTTATAGAAGTCCAACAATCAGAAGTCAAACACACTCTACAAAGACTGTTTGCTAATGTTTTCTTTAGGATCTCTTTTTGACTAAGATAGAAATTCCAAACATCCACCACAGCAGTTTTTCTAGTAATGTTCTTGTAATCAGGATTTAAATATGAAAGTAAATCCCTAATTGCATCATACTCAACAAAGGAATATGGAAGATCATGTTTAATAATAGCAAAAGCAATCTTATCCCGGACCTTGTTATGATCAATTTGTCTAGCCCTCACATTCCCTGCTTGATCTATCATCATGGCACCAATGTTCTTATATTTTGGAAGAGACACACATACATTAACATGACGCCGGAGAGTTGAAGTCCCATAATCCTTACCACCAACTAAATACACTTTTCCACACCCATTACATGTAGCCTTTTCTTTGCCATCTATAATACTTTTAGTAAAAAACTTCCAAACCTCAGATGTTGTTTTTTTAGCCCTTTTATTTGATTCAGGCATAGAAGACACGGGTGGAGCAGATTCATCTTGAATAGTATTACTTTCAGCAGCATTGTCAACATACTTTCTTTTATGCCTCATCACCCATTTTGGTTTAACAACGTATACTGCAAAAGATATTCCATATTTCCATTCAACAATTACACAAACAAGAAAACATTGAAAAAAAATTAAATTCTACTAATCTATTTCAATCAGATCCAAACCGAAACCGTCCAAACATAACTAAAAAAATTGAAATTTAACTGAAGAAAGAATAATCAATCTATCAATCCAGAATTCCAGTCACAATCTCAGCCTTAACAAGTGTTAAATTAATGACTTAATCAATCCAGTATTCCAATGAATTAGCAAATTACCAGACTGGAGAGGAGAGCACAGCTGCACAGAACAACAGGCGAGTAGTCACCGTCACTCACCGACGGAGCAAGAGGGAGACTTGGAGCAATGGAGCTCGAAGAACCCGGACTGGAGCTCGACGACGATGAAGAAGGGAGACGGACTCAAGCGACGCGAACGCGATCTCTGTCTCTGCCTCTGACCTGCGAGTGAGAGTGCGAGACCAGCCACCAACTCCAAGAGCCCCTAGTCGCTGTCGGTAGTCGCCAGAGACGAGAGTGAGCCTCGATTGAGGTTGAGGATTTGAGTTCGAGACTTGAGAGAGGGTCAGAGGGGTGTCTGTGTGAGATGAGAGCCTGCTGTCTCGGTCTCTCGGACTCTGCCTCTGCGTGACCGGTGACTGTGCCGTGAGGTGAGGGTGAGCCGTGACTGTGAGAGCCTAAGCGTGAGGCCCTGACTCCGTGAGCGGTGATGTTCGGACCGTCGGAGGGACTGAGGGAGTGAGAGTTAGGCACAGTCAGCGAGCGTCGCACTGAGACTCTGAGAGTGAAGACTGAGACCGTGAGTCCGTGACTGAGTCTGAGTGTTGGGGTCCTTGGGGAGTGACTGAGAGACTGAGAGCCGAGAGGTGAGAGGAGGGAGTGACTGAGTGATGGAGCGCCGACGCCGCCGAGCGCCTGAGCGAGTGAGGCGAGGGACGGGGGGGAGTCGTCGGGGACGGCTGGTCGACAGGTCGAGTAGACGAGTACTCGAGTGACGACTGACGAGCGGAGTGGTCAACTGCTGAAACTGGAAGGCCGGAAGTCGAAAGACGGAAGGGTTACTGGTTAGTGCGGAAGGCTGAAACTGGAAGGCCGGAAGTCGGAAGACGGAAGGGTTACTGGTTAGTGCGGAACTGCGGAAGGCTGAAACTGGAAGGCCGGAAGTCGGAACTCGGAAGACGGAAGGGACTTAGCCACTTAGGGTTATGACTTGCACTTGCAGATTAGTGTCTTAGTGATGTGGAGTCAGACAGGAGTCTCGGTCTCTCGGAGGGAAAACCGAAAAAGGAAAAAATTTAAAATAAAAAAAAAAAAATGGCGGGTTATACGGGCCAGCCCGCCAACCCGCGGGCTAACCCGTTTTAACCCGCGGGTTAAACGGTCCGGGCTGATGTAACCCGTTTTTCGGCGGGCTGGAAAAAAACCAACCCTAACCCGCCTCTTTAGAGTGGGTTGGCGGGCTGGCCCGCGGGTTACAACCCATATTACCGGCTCTAGTGCTGGGATCTGCTTTCACAAATTTAACTAAGATGAGTATACAGTCGTATTTAATATAGTTAATACTACCTCAGGTCCTTAGTATAAAAGCTAGTTAACTAATTTTAGTATATTAAAAAAATTAGTTAAGTTAGTTATTTATAATAAATAAGTGTTGTCTTTCCTAAAATATCTTTGCTAAACAAGTGTATTAGTTAGAACTACTATTATTACAAGGATTACTTTAGAAAAAATAGGTAAATACGATAGGTAAAGTGGATTAGAGTTTTATATTTAGGACCAAAATAAAAGTCAAACGGATTCTTATATTAAAGACTGGAGGTGGTATGATAAAAACCACTGGGATGGGAGCATCTTGAAGAAGGGGAGAATCCAGATCAGGACTTTTCCGTGGCCCAACTCTAATCTAATGTAAGACTTTCTTACTTTGCCCCCGTTTTACGTTAAGTCTATTCATACTTGAACACTTATATTAGGGACAATAATAATTAAGTCATGAAAGATTAAATTCTTATCTGCAATTGACTCCTGAATTTGCAATTTATTTCTCAGGAAAATTTATCAGTGCGCTAACTGTGATTAAATCGATCTGTCACTGTCTCCTTGTATTTGAGGTCTCACCATTTTTTGATGGGGCCCTTCCAGTCCTTAGCCTGCGGGGATAGGGATATTGAGTGGATCCTCCAAGAGTTGGACGAGCAAGATCTGGACTTGCATCAACATCACCCAAGTCATTGTATGTAGCATAATCATAGATTCTATCCCATTCCCGTCGAACTTCATCAACTGGAATTTCATCTATATCTCCTCTTAAAAGTTTCAGCTCTACTTTTCGGAAAAAACTCAATAGTCCTGGTGTTTGACTCGGCAGGTATGACTGAAACATCAGAGTTTCTCAATCAATATATATATATATATATGAACTGTTACAAGTTATATATAGGAATAAGAGAACTAGCTGAAAGGAAATTAAATGGACTTCTTAGGTACCTTGTTGACGAAGAAGAGACGAGTGAGATGCGTGTTGTTGAATGTGTCAACCCAAGAGTTGCAGATGAAATGAAGAGGCTGAGTGGTAAGATTGGGAATGGGATGAACAGTGAGGCTGACAAGGAATATCTCAAAATCAAGGATCAAAAGATCAAATGCTACTGGAATTCCCTTATCTTCGGACCAAAAATTGTAAGTAAAGTCGTATGATTGAGTTCCCAAGGGGGAGGACGACGACTTTCTGCTGATACCACCTTTGGGAGCATGGCGTTCATATTTCTGCATCTGTTTCTCATCTGCAACATTTGCTCTTTGGCTTGGAAAAGAGTCTTCTTCTGCAATTAGAATTCACAGTGCATTTGGATAAGTGAGATATATATATATATATATATATAGGATTTGTTATAATTAATTGGCAAAGAAGAATATAGAAATAGAAGCAGATAATTAAACACCTAGCCAAGGAGGAAGGGGTTCTTTAGAACCGATAAATCTGGCATTCATGACGAGGCATTCAGCCCCAGGACCGGCGACGACCATGGTGTATTTAAGTTCCATCATGATTTGTGGTGGAAGCTAATTAAAAGCACAAACTCAGAGAAATTGCTGCGAGTTGTGGGTGATGAGCAAAGCGGATAGCAAAGTCACGGGTATTTATAATATACTCAATGGACAAAATTACGTATAACATGTTTTTAACCTTTACAATATGTGTAACTCCATGCATGCATCTGTGCGAAAGCCTTTGATGTGAAGAAGACGAACCATACTTGGCTTGTATGGCAGCCACTATCTTCCAAGTTTCATAAATATTGATATTGATATTGATAATATCCTTTTTGCTAATATGGATTATACCCTCTTGCACCATTTTTCTGGGCTTTGTGGTCCTTCCTTTGTAGCTGATACAGCCTAGCTATATTTTCTTCGCATCTACAAAAGCTTATAGTTGTATTTCTAACTATTTCTTTAAAGCAAGGTAGCCCTTAACATTCATGTTAATTAACTTGAATTGATCATCAAGACAGAACTTTTTGCTATTTCTCACACATACTCCGAAATAACAATAATTCATTTGCATCCTTCAAAACTACTCGTCATATTTTTTAACATTTACTTCTTCTCAAGATATTAAAAATTGGACCAATTATGAAACGAATTGAAAAAGTGATTTAAGAGTCAATGCTCTAAAAGAGTAATATTTAAATAAAAAATGCATTAATTTATGAGTAAATGAAACATTTGTGTATGAAGTTATGCATAATTTAATAAAATAGAATTATTAAAACATATATATGATCTATTGCTTTTTTTTTAAATTTAAAATAATATGGTTTCAAACTTGAAGACTGAAAAAAAACTATAAAATTCAATTTAGTTGTCCCCTTCAAAACTCTTAATCAAACCAATTGGGGAACCGTTTCATTAATCTAATTAGTAGTTTTAAATTGAGTTTTAATACTCTTTTTTTGTACAATTCAAGATATCTTAAAATAGTTTTGGGTTTGAAACTAATTTTTGTTGAACCAAAAGCATTACAGTTGAAGTCCAACTATCAAATAAGCTTCTCGGGATTCAAACTTATAAGGATGAGACTAGATGAGACTGCTTACCATCTCAACCAGTAAGATAGTTTTAATACTATTTATGTTATACATAGGCATTCTTTCCATCTACGTCATATGATATGCCAACCAAAAAAGAAGATATTTGCGGTGTGTGTTTTAATATTACTCCCTCCAAAAACAATGCAAGACTTTAAACGTTTCATCAATTAATGTTGTAGAGTGAATACGTATTTTGGCCAAAGAAAAGAAAAGAAGGAAAGACACATTGTATCTACTTTGTCCTATTATGTACTTGTGTTCGATTGCTTCCATATAGTTTTGGAATCGATAAAACCATTATATCATCAAGATATTTTTTAAAGCAGATCTTTTTATTCATATTCTGTCAAATATCAAATGCTCCTATAAATTTTCATTGCATATGTTTGAATTTAGCTATTTCTAACTCAGCTTTTACTTTCAAGCTTCAATACACACACATGCACATCTCATTGGAGGCATTTCTTAAGCTTTTCTGTTTTTGCCCCCCAAATTGAATGAAAGTGAGATTGAAAACAATACTAATTCCTAATCCCATGCATACACATGTATGAGATTGAATACATAATAATTTGTCCCATACTACTAATACTAAGTGTGGATTTATTCACCAATATTGGTATGGAAAATAGGCCTTATTAATGCCCAACAGCAATTAAACCATAATTAAAAAAAGCTAACCAGACCACAAGTTCTAAGGTTACACAGTCCCAATTATTTTAAAACGCTTTTCAAGATATGCAATCCTAATAACATGTTAACGGATTTATAAAATTTTTTGGCAATGTCTCACCTAAAAATTGAATATTACAATAATTCTACAATGAAAATCGACAGCGTGTAACCAATTACACCCTCCCATCAATTACTTTAAAGTATTAAGCTGCGCAAACTAATAAATAATGAAATAAAAACAACAAATTCAATCTTTATTTATAAGCAAAGGGTACTTTCCACGCTTTTTGGACCTTATAATAATAATAATAATAATAATAATAATAATAATAATAATAATAATAATAATAATAATAATAATATCTTTCTTACCATGTATCAAAGTCATGTGCAAATTAACATGCCCATATATAATTTAGAAAGCGTTTATAACTAATTCACTAATAAATTAAATATGGCAGATTTGTATTTTTTTTTTCAGGCATGGGTTTTTTTTGTTAAAAGTAATCATATTCAATATACTGTTAAGCATTAAATATGAACACCTATCCTAATAGGAATTTAAACCTTGGTTTTGTACCTCTTGAATAGGAAAAATATGGACTCGTCTAGAGCCGGGAAAATGGGCCGAGCCCGTCGGGCCGGCCCGTTTAAGCCCTGAAATTATGAGGGTCGGGTTTGATATTTTTCTCTTAAAATGGGAAATAAGCCCTGGAGGGCCGATGGCTTAAAAGGACCGGCCCTAGAGGGCCACGGGCCGGCCCTTTTAAGCCCTTTTATAATTTTTTTATTTTTTAATATAATTTTAATGCTATTAATTGTTTACATTATTAATAATATTTCAAATATTTAGTTATTATTATCATTTTAAAATTAAATTTAGTTTTAGACAATAATTTATTCAATTAAATTTTTAAAAAATGGGTTAATTTGGACTTTAATAATGATTTGATTTATATTATATGCGTTGATATTTTTAAACTATATTTATAGATTTGATAATAGAATATTTTTATACTTATATAACTTGTGATTCTATAATTTGAATTAGAAATTCATGAGTTTCAACAACAATGTTTCTCACATTAAAGTAAAATAATAGTTAGATTGCACAATTTAAAAATAAAATTCTTATAAAGAAGACAAACTTGATATTTTTGTTACGAAAGAAAAGCACACTTATGAAGAAAAGTAATTAATTATAGTGATGATGAAGTTTCAAAAGATTAATGATAGTATTTATTTATTGCACAATTGCATTATAAATAAAACTTTTAGATGTTGTTATCTTGTTAAGCAATGTTTTAGATGTTCTTAGATGTTGATGAATATTTATATATGATTATATTTTATATTTGTGATTTAATTTTATTTATATTTATGTCTTTTATTAATAATTTTATTGGTTTATTTTTATATTTTTATAAAAAAATACGATAAATATAAAAAAAATAGTATTTTTTCTTAAATGGGCCAAAAGCCCGTGGGCCGGCCCTAGCCCTGTAGCTTAAGGGTCGGGCCTAGCAAATTGGGGTATTTTTAAAATTTTAGCTTTGGAGGGCCGGCCCTTTTAAGCCCGTCAACCCTGAAGAGCCGGCCTTGATTCCCAGCTCTAGACTCGTCGGTGTTGGGATATCAATGTCCTGATTTGTATAATGAGTAATGAAAACCTCTGTGGTCCCGTGTTTTTGGCTCTGCTCATCAGTGGTCCAATGAAATGTAATTCAATTTTTTTAAAAAAAAATTGAAAATGATAAAATAAGATTCCTAAGACTTAACCCCCCTAAGATTACGTCTTTTTTTTTTGGCGGTAACAAATGAAAGTCCTAATAAAAGAGTTAACAACCTTATTTTTTTGTCCTTTTTCATTTAAAAAACTGATAAATAAAAATCTAAAATTAATTATTGGAGAAGTTTTGTGAGGTTCCAACAATTTATAAAACATACTACTTCCAATTCTTAATATAAAAACTCGTTTAACTTTTATTTTAGTCATAAATATAAGACTCTAATTGCTTGGTCTCTCATATTTATCTATTTTTTTCTTAAGATAGACATTGTAATAACAGTAATTCTAGCCAATATACTTGATTGGCAAAGATATTTTAGAAAAAACAACACATATTTATTATAAATAACTAACTTAACTAGTTTTTTTAATCTACTCAAATTAGACACCAGCTCTTATGTTAGAAATATGAGGTAGTAATTATGAAGAGTCTTGGGAACAAGTGAGTAATATGTATCTTGCGACTATTCGTTGTGCTCAAGCTTGTCCTTCTTTTTTTTTTTTTTTTTGGCAACCAAACTGAAATTTACATTCACTTGCCAGTAATTACATTTTAGGAGAATTATTAGAAGGTGTCAAAAAAATTATATTTACTAAGAAGCTGCATAAAAATTAAATATTCATAATGACAAATTTTAATTAAAAAATATAACAAATTCTTATATAAAAAATGATAATAGGTTTTAATTACTCACTTCTCATTAAGATTTTTTAATAATTATTTTTTTACACCTCACAATAATTTTTCCTTACATTTTCTTTTCTTGTGAGATGGATACCACACAGTGATTTTTCTTTAATTATTTTAGCGACTTGTAATTTCCTCGGATGCCTTCTCCACATCTTTCATTTGAGTTTGGCGGCACCTTGGGAAGCAGCAGAGGGACCATGTTGAATAATTGATTACAGCCAAATGAGCGACGTGGATTTTTGCCTCATATTTGTCCATATCATATTGGCACGTTTTTATTTTAATGCAGAATAAATTGATTTCTTTATTTGCCGCACAGCTCCTATTGAAGAAGACATGACTTCTAAGGTCAAGAGATTTTGGGTGATTTCTGGATTAAATACAAATTAAATTAATAAAGAAGTCATTGGACACAATCTATAAGCAAGATTATGGGCATGTTTGAAATAATTTATGAGTCACTTTTTAATATTAATTCACAAAATACGACATAAATAACTAAATATGTGAGAGAAATTTTGTCTTAGATAATAGAAGACGTACTTATAAATGATTTCTAATGCCATGTCAAACAGAGGTGCTATATTCTTTGAATTAAAACACAATATATTGTAGGCTTATTATTCATTTGGTACAATAATTACATTTGCATATTATGCTTTATTATAGATCAATCAAAATGATGGATATAATATGACAATTTAACCACAACTTCTCACTCAAGCATTATCGCATGTTCCCATGCAGCCATCAATTTTGGACACAGTATCTTAAAAATTATAGTAACTTAAAACCGTCCAACTCTTAGCATAAGGTTGGTATTTAGCTTGAGGAGGGAAATAACTCACGAATATAATATAGAATGTGAAGGCTTGCTAAACAAAGTCATCGTAGGTAGCATAATCATAGATTCTATCCCCTTCTTTGCGAACTCTATCACCTTCAATTTCATCTGTATCTCCTCTAAAAAAATTTCAGCTCTTCTTTTCGGAATGCACCCACTGAAATATTAAGAGAGTTACTGAATCAATATATGTGAATTGTTCCAAGTTAAAGGAATATATATAAATAAGAGAACCTGCAGGAAGGAAATGTAGGTATGTACGTACCTTGTTGATGAAGAAGATACGAGGGAGTTGTATAATGGGGACGTATGGGTAAACCCAAGTGTTGCAGATGAAATGAACAGTGAGGCTCACGAGGAATATCTCATAATCAAGAAGAAAAAAATCAAATGCTTCTGGAATTCCTTTATCCTCGGACCAATCGTCGCAAGTCAAGTCGTGTGAATATTGTTGGGTACCCAAGGAGGCCGACATTTTGCCGATACCATCTTTCCGAGCATGGCTTTCATACTTCTGCATGTATTTCTGATCTGCAACGTATGCTCTTTTCTTTGCAACATCGTCGCCTGCAATTAGATTCACAGTGAATTCGATTCATAATGGCAAAGAGGAATAAGAATATGATTATAAGGACTTTGGAGTACATACATATACATAAGCACCTGTGGAAGAAGGAAAAGGAATCTTTAGAACCGATAAATCGGCCCGCGATGGCACAGCATTCAGCCCCAGTGCCGGAGGCGACAGTGGTGTTAAGTTTCATGATTTGTAGTGGAAGGTAATTAATTAAAACCACAAGCTCAGAGAATGTAGTTTAGTTTCACTTTAATGCATCAGACCTGGACCATTTATATTTTATTTAAACGATCCAAATTTAAAATTTTTAATTAATTATTTTTAAATAGAAAAACTATTTTTGAAAAGAATGATAGTTAAGAGATCATTCCTATTTTAGATTCTCAATGTATTAAAATAATTGTTTTGAATAAATAAAAAATAAATAAATATAAAAAGGAAATCAAATCTAGACCATTCAAATAAGATATGGATGATTTAGATCTGATAAGTTTATAATCACCCAAACTGGTTCTGCAAGTTGAGGGTGAGGAGCAAAAAGGATAGCAAGTCACGGGTATTTACAGAGACATGTAATGATCAATAACGGACTTCATGGAGAACTTTTTTCCTTTTCTTTTTTTTTTTCCTTTTTTACCCATGTGACTCCATGCATGCATTTGTACGAAAGCTACTATCCTACCATTTTCATAAAACTCCTAGTCAAACCATTCAGGAAACTGGTTCATTAATATAATTGGCACACTCGAGTTAAGTTTTCAGACTACGTTATGTATAAATATTGGTGATATGATAACTTTTGCAATGTGTATGTTTTTCAAAGTTATTTTGAAGTTCCCTCGAAAAACAATCAGATTTCATGTTGTGCAGTTAATACTTATATTCACAAAAATAGGGAAACCACGGTATATCTATTTTGGACTTGTTCGCAATCTACTTAGTTTAAGTACTTATAAACACTTTTACGAGACAAAACCATTTCGACATACTTATCTTGTATTCTTAAACCATTTTAAACAAGTTCTTTGTGTTATTATATATTTGTATCCAATCCCTTCCTACCACATGGTTTTGGAATCATCAAGATATTTTTTAAAGCATATCTTTTTGTTCATGTTCTGTCAAATAAAACATCAAATCCTCCTATATAAATTTTCTTTGGATAATATATGAGTGACAAAAGTTTCTGGTGAAGTGTTTGGCTCTGCTCAGTGGTCCAATGAAATGTAACTCCTACTCATGGAAAACAAGTGAGAAATCCAGCTCCATACATTACTTCAGTGATTGGCAACGGGGAGGATATTAAGTCCCAAACTGATATATGTTTGTTATGAAAAGACGACGACAAGTCTCACGTTAAAAGATTTATTATTGGTGAGAAAGATTCGATACATATTGTTTTACACATAGAGAGCATTAGTATCCCGCAGATTTTTTATATAAACATATTTTCATTTAGATCCTTTGAGCTAATAATATTTTTAACAGGAGTTTTTCCCCCTCAAATTTCTCTTTTCTTATTTAAAAAAAATTGAAAAGAATGAAGTAAGGTTCTTAAGAGTTAACCCCTTAGGATTAAATTAAGTCTCTTTTGTTGGCGGAACCAAACTAACTTCATGATAAGAGGGTTGACAAGATAAGCTTATTTGATCCTTTTCGTTTTTTAAAAAAGATTGAAAAAATAAAATCATAGGGGAAATTATTTTCAATCACGTGACGGACTGGAACTAGTTTTTTTTTTTTTTTTTGTGGTGAAGGATCGGCTGGATTTTTGTCTCACAGATATGCAGATGAGCATTATTGGACCACTTTGGCCAAAAACATTATTGGACCACTGATTAGAGCCACAAAAACTTTTGTCACTCATTAGGACATAGCACCAATTAATTAGATCTAACAGAAAAGTTAGCCCCCCACAATATAACAAATTTGGGTTCAAATCTCAGTTAAGAAAAATATTTGTATTTAGTGTTTGATAGTGTCTAAATTTTACTACTTATTTGATTATTAACGTAAAAGTTACAATAATTAATCTATAGGTATTAGTTACTCCCTCTGGTTTTAATTATAAGCTTTAAATTTTAAAAAGAATGTGGTTCATTTTATGAATTTTAATTTTTATTTATCTTGACATTTAATACTTTTTTCAGTTTTGCTCTTAATTATTTATTCTCTCTCATTTGCCATAATATCTTTTATCACATTTTCCCACACATTCTCTTTAATCCATTTTCTCATTTATTATAAGTGAATGCTTAGAAACAAAAATATATTTCTAACATATTTATTACTTTTAACTAAATTTAACTAATTTTTCATTATCCATGAATTAATTATTTAAAACATATAATAAAGATCAGAGGGAATAGTTATTTAATTTGTAGAAAATTCATGTTGATTTTCAAAAAATACCGCTTCTAATAATTTGCATTAGATACTAAAATCGTGATTGAAAAAAAATCTTAATATGTGCAACTAATAAGGAGAATTTAGAAGAAAAGTTATTAATTTAAAAAAGAAATAGTTTGGGATCTTATATAAGCCAATCCCTCTATTAACTGTTAAAAAGTACTCCTCTGGTCTTTAATATAGGACCCAATTGTTAAGTTGGTTTTGGTCTTAAATATAAGACCAATTTATCATATTTATCAATTTTCTCTAAATTACCCATATAGATACTCACTCAATCATAATCAAGTAGAAGAGGAAGATGTGGTATTAAGAAAGATGATTATGGTATTTTAGGAAAAATGTGTCCCATTTTTTATAATTAACTAACTTACCTGACTTCTTTAATCTAATCAAATTAGTTAAATCAGTTTTATATTAAGTATCGGAGGAGTAATTTTATTTTAAAGATGCAAAGTGTGGTCCAGGTGACAGCTCAATTCTTGTTTGTGAGTGCCAACAGAGGTTTTAAAGAGGACATAGGATTAAATGTGGGCCTAAAAGGATGGCATATATGGTGAAGTAAGAGGGAAATAAATTATAACTGTTTATATTCAAAAACCCATTTTGGCTGTCAAAGGATTATGAAAATTCAAATACTTTCGCTAGCATTTAGCATTTTTCAGGCTTTTCAAGTGTCAGTTTTCATTTAGAAAACGTGAGATAATTAAAAGTCTTGACCCAAAAAAAAGAGAAAATCACAAATAAAGACTTCCCGAATTATCAAAATTATGCAAAGGTCACCTGAATAAGCAAAATTACCATGAGAAACCCAGTCTTATATTGCAAATATACAATCTTGGTGAAATGTCTGAAATACTCCTCAGCCAAATGACAAGTTGACTATAGAAAATGACAAGTTCACTTTAACGAATGACAATTTCAGTAGATCAAATCACAATTTGGTTGAAGGTATGTCAAATGACAAGCTGACTATAGGAAATAACAAGTTTACTTTAGCGAATGACAACTTTAGTAGACCAAATCACAACTTGACTGAGGGGCATTTCAGACATTTCGTCAAGATTTCATATTTGCAATATGGGACTGAGTCCTTTATGGTACTTTTGCTTATTCAGGTGACCTCTGCGTAATTTTAGTGATTTGGATGTCTTTATTTGTCATTTTTCTCAAAAAAAAAAACACAGAGATATTTAAAAGTGAATTAAATTATAAAGACAACTTGGAGCATCTAGTCACTCATAGTTAGTACGCTTTTGTCCTGCTTCTTTTCTGAGATTCTACGCAATCAAACGGTATCTAATTAGATGCTTTGACTATCTTTTCACTCTCTAGAATAATAATTCACTCTTATTTTGTACTCGAACAATCAAAGGAGAAGGTAGTACTTATTTATGCTTTCAAGACAAAACCCAAATGGAACACAGTACAAAGGCCAATACAATGACCCGCCCACATTACAAGAGCCTAATACACACGCAGATATATGACCCCTTTTAATTTTGCCAAACAAGAACACATTAACAAACTACAATAATCCAAATAGAACCCCTAGCTCCTTACACACTTAAAGGACGCCCAAGCGACTTCTTCATATAGAGATACTGTTTGGAATTCCTCTTCCAGTGAGTCCAGGTTCACTGCTAGGATAGAGCAGAGTGTAGGGCATCATCACTGGCCCAACTCTATTTCCCAGTATCCCATCTTCATTCCTCCTTATCAATACTTTCTCAATTTCTTTCAGCCTGTCTCCAAATTTCTTAAAAGCCTCCAACACTTTAGCATCAGATGTCCAGTAAGGGATACTATTGGTTCCAAGATAAACCTCATCGGTGGTATGGCTTGACAGTATCTCTATAATTGACAGATCAAGAAGAGTCTCAAACTTTGGCGTGATTGTTTTTAAGAAAGCTAGCTCTGGATTCTCCACCATCTCGGCATATTCTTGAGTTCCCTTCTCAGGCATCAACCTTCTGCTGAGAGTAGGACGGTTTAAGATATAACCTCCATAAGGGTACTGTCCAAAATTCACAGCTGCATGCAGAGCTGAAGCTATCCATATGATAATAGTGCAACAGTGGATTAGCTCTTGACGAATCTGCATCTCAGGCCACCAGTCCTTGTCTTTAAGGTCACCATGACCTACTTCTACGAGTTCTTTCCACCATGATTGTAGCTCAGGATCCTGCTTAATGATCTCATCTGACTCATAGTAATAAGAGACATAGTCATGAACCCAAGTCTTTATAGCATCCCATATCAGGAGCCCATCTACAGCATAAGGGTAGTCCTCTATCAGAAGGCGAAGCCCATGCGGAGCAGTTGGATCCTCCACCGCCATTCCTCTGAAATTTTTTCCAATAATTGTTAGCAAGTTATCAACTTAAGGATTATATGCTTTTTTTTCTTTTAAAATAATACTCTATAGTTTACCTCTTGATGAGATCAGCAGGTAAGGCTTGGTCAAGAAAATTCCAACTCTTGTAAACCACAGATGACATCTCCATTGAATATATTCCAGGCAAGAATGAGTTCTCTATAATTCCATCTGCAGAGATTAAGTTTTGGCGAGCAAGTGCATTGATAAACAAGGTGTCATGATAATGAGGATGAAGAAGTTTAAACATAGGGTGCAGTTGACTGAGTTGCCTATATGTTGCAATAACAAACGGCTCCATCACAGCATGAGTATTCAGCCTGAGAAACCAAAAATTAAAAAGAAGAATGAAAATATTAATCATTGTATTAATTGGAGAGGCCTTCATGATTTGCATATTTTATAACTGAATGTATAATTACTAAGGGTGAAAAAACTGTTTACCAGTGACTGACTAGTTGATGATAGCCTGTGTCATTCACAACTACATATGCTTTAGCCAATTGCCAAATGGTACCCCCAACACCTTCAGTTTCAGGCAGATACACTTTGCTGATAGCACCAAAGTGATCTCCATCAGGGTGAGGTAAACTAAGCTCAATTACAAGTGGCTTCAAGGTCCCATCATTTTGGAGGAACAGGATTGTCCTACTTGCGTAAGCCTTTCTGGAAGTTTCATTGATCTTCCTCAAGTATGGCATGAATGCGTCGTAGTGATTTAATATGAATAATCTCTTGGAATTCAGTGCCTGCATGCATCAATCAAAGCTTAAGTGGTATTCTTTCAGATATAAATGCTAAACTTTATATGATAAACTCCTTAATAAGACGAGGACAATAAAATTGCATTTCTAATTTCACCTCTTGAACCGTAAGCCCTTTCATGTTCTTCTCCAGGTGTTCTCTTGTTATGCTGGATGTATGATCACCGTAGAGTTTAATATCTAGCGTGCTTTTTATGGGGAACTCCTGCAATGAATTTGAGAAAATTATGAGAGGATAATTATATTTAGAGAAGACAAATTAATGGTTGCATCTCTCATATTTGATCACTTTAATTTTCTCACTTGAAGGAGGCAGATTAAAACGGGATTCACACCGGCAAGCATCTCTCGTGCAAATTCTTCATCCGTCATCCATCCATCTAGATTATCTGTTCCAAACATTAAATATTTAATTTGTATGGCTTCTTCGGAAAAATAAAGGCAAAGAAATGAGAGCTTAGTTAGATAGATAAATATAGGCACCTTGAATGACACCAGGAACTGGAAACAATAACTGCAGATCGCCTTTTTCTGGGGGCGTTGGTATTGGTAGTCTCTCAGCAATGGCTTTCAGTACCTCTATGGGCACATTAAATGTAAAACCATCTTTGTACAGTACTTTAAGTACCTGTTCGAAGCTTTCAAATTCTTTTCCTGATTTCTCCAATTCCGCTGATACATATGGTTTCATAAGGTTCATGGATGATTTGGGAAAATTTTGCACAAACTCAAACAGCTTCTGGTCTCCAAATCGATCATCTCTGGGAACATAGATCGAAAAGGCTTGTTCTGGAGGGAGTCTGCTCTCAGTGCTGGGATCTGCTTTCACAGATTTAACTAATATGAGTGAACAGTCATATTTAATTACATTTAATAGCTAGATATAGTTAATATGACAAAGACTACTGAGGTAGGAGCATCTTGAAGAAGGGGAGAATCCATATCAGGACTTTTCCGCGGCCCAACCCTATCTAATGCAAGACTTTCTTATTTTCCCTCTGTTTTACGTCAAGTCTATTCATACTTGAACCCTTATATTACGGAGAATAATAATTAAGTCATGAAAGATTAAATTCTTATCTGCAATTGACTCCTGAATTTGCAACTTATTTCTGCGAAAAATTTATCAGTGAGCTAACTGTCATTAAATCGATCTGTCACTATCTCTTTGTATTTGAGGTCTCACCATTTTTTGATGGGGCCCTTCCAGTTCTTAGCCTGCGGGGATAGGGATATTGAGTGGATCCTCCAAGAGTTGGACGAGCAAGATCTGGACTTGCATCAACATCACCCAAGTCATTGTAGGTAGCATAATCATAGATTCTATCCCATTCCTGTCGAACTTCATCAACTGGAACTTCATCTATATCTCCTCTTAAAAGTTTCAGCTCTCTTTTTCGGAAAACACTCAATAGTCCTGGTGTTTGACTAGGCAGGTATGACTGAAACATCAAGTTTCTCAATCAATACATATAGTTATATATAGGAATAAGAGAACTAGCTGGAAGGAAATTAACTGTACTTATTAGGTACCTTGTTGACGAAGAAGAGACGAGTGAGATGCGTGTTGTTGAATGTGTCAACCCAAGAGTTGCAGATGAAATGAAGAGGCTGAGTAGTAAGATTGGGAATGGGATGAACAGTGAGGCTGACAAGGAAGATCTCAAAGTCAAGGATCAAAAGATCAAATGCTACTGGAATTCCATTATCTTCGGACCAAAAGTTGTAAGTAAAGTCGTATGATTGTTGAGTTCCCAAGGGGGAGGACGACGACTTTCTGCTGATACCACCTTTGGGAGCATGGCGTTCATATTTCTGCATCTTTGCTGATCTGCACCATTTGCTCTTTGGTTTGGAAAAGATCTTCTGCAATTAGATAATTCACAGTGAATTTGGATAAGTGAGATATATATATATATATATATATATATATGATTGGTCATAGCTAATTGGCAAAGAAGAATATAGAAATATAAGTAGATAATTAAATAACACCTAGCCAAGGTGGAAGGGGTTCTTTAGAACCGATAAATCGTGCATTCATGACGAGGCATTCAGCCCCAGGACCGGCGACGACCATGGTGTATTTAAGTTCCATGATTCGTGGTGGAAGCTAATTAAAAGCACAAACTCAGAGAAATTGCTGCGAGTTGTGGGTGATGAGGAAAGAGGATAGCAAAGTCACGGGTATTTATAATATGCTCAATGGACAAAACTACGCATAACATGTTTTCTATCTTTATAATATGTGTAACTCCATGCATGCATTTGCGCGAAAAGCCTTTGATGTGAAGAAGACGAACCATATTTGGCTTGTATCGCAGCCACTATCTTCCAATTTTCATAAATGTTGATATGATATTGATAATATCCTTTTTGCTAATATGGGTTATACTCTCTGTACCATTTTCCTAGGCTTTCTTTTCTTTTCTTTTCTTTTGTGTATGATACAGCCTAGCTAGATTTTCTTTGCATCTACAAATGCTTTTAGTTGTATTTCTAGCCCTTAACATTCATGTTAATTAACTTGAATTGATCATCAAGAGAGAACTTTTTGCTACCTCTCATACACACTCCACGTTAGCAATAATTCGTTTGCATCCTTCAAAATTACTCGTCACAAGATATTAAAAGTTGTACCAGTTATTAAACTGATTGAAGAAGTGATTTAAGAGCCTCATCTAAAAGAGTAATTTTTTTTTTAAAAAAAGCATTAATTTATAAGTAAATGAAACATTAATTTGTGTATGAAATTTTGCATAATTAATAAATTAAATAGAATTATTAAAACATACTATCTCCGGTCCTAATTATAAGAGCCAGTTGACTAATTTAAGAAGATTAAGAAAATAAGTTGAGTTAGTTATTTGTCATAAATAGATATTATCTTTCCTAAAACATCCTTGCTAATCAAGTGTATTGACTAAAACTATAATTATTAGAAGGACTATTTTCAAAAAAATTGAATAAATATGAGAGATAAAATGGATTGGGGTCTTATATTTAGGACCAAAATAAAAGTCAAACAGGGTCTTATATTAAGGATCGGAGGTAGTATATATGATCAATTGTTTTTTTTTAAAATTTAAAATAATATCATTTCAAATTTAAAAATTGAGAAAAAGTGTAAAATTCAATTTAGTTGACCCCTTCGAAACTCTTAATCAAACTAATTGGGGCCAACGGCTTGTTGGTAGTTTTAATACTATTAATGTTATGCATAGATATTCTTTCCATCTGCGTCATATGATATGTCAAGAGGAAAAAAAATATATTTGCAGCGTATTTTTCAAAGCAATATCATTCCCTCCAAAAACAATATAAGACTTCAAAAAAAAAAGAAAAGAAAGGGAAAGCCACATTTTATCTACTTTGTCTTATTATTTACTTGTATTCGATCGCTTGCATATAATTTTGGAATCGATAAAACCATTATATCATCAAGATATTTTTTTAAAGCAGATCTTTTTAGTCATATTCTGTCAAATATCAAATGCTCCTATAAATTTTCATTGCATTTGTTTGAAATATATATCTATATATATATATAAAGACAAATTTTGTTTAACCATTTTTAACCCAGCTTTATTTGTCTGGTACTTTCAAGCTTCAACACACACACATGCACATCTCATTGGGGGCATTTCTTAAACTTTTCTATTCCCCCCCCCCCCCAAATTGAACGAAAGTGAGATTGAAAACAATCGCAATTTCTAATCCCATGCGTACACATGTATGGGATTGAATACTTAATAATTTATCCCATACAGCTAAGTGTGGCTTCATTCACCAATATTGGTGTGGAAAATAGGCCTTATTAATGTCCAACACCAATTAAACCATAATTAAAAAAAGCTAGCCAAACCACAAGTTCTAAGGTTACGCATTCCTAATTATTTTAAAACACTTTTCAAGATATGCAATCCTAATAACATGTTAACAAATTTATAAATTTTTTTGGCAATGTCTCACCTAAAAATTGAATATTACAATAATTCTACAATGAAAATTGACAGTGTATAACCAATTTCACCCCCCCAATCAATTACTTTAAAGTATTAAAGTACAAAAACTAATAAATAATGAAATAAAATGAACAAATTCAATCTTTGGTTATAATCATAAGGTACTTTTCAAGCATTTTAGACCTTATAATACTACTACTACTAATAATAATAATAATAATAATAATATATCTTTCTTACTATGTATCAGAGTTATGTGCAGACTCTGAGCCCGAAGACATGCATGTCCTGGTCCTGATGAGCTCCTGGAATCCAACTCACCTAAATTTTCGCGTATAAAAAATATGCATATATAATTTGGAAAGCGTTTATAACTAATTTACTAATAAATTAAATATGGCCATCTAGATTTGTACTTTTTTTAAACACGGGTATTTTTTTATTAAAAGTAATCCTATTCAATGTACTGTTAAGCATTAAATATGGACACTTATCCTAACAGGCATTTAAACCTTTGTTTTGTACTTCTTTTTTTTTTTTTTTGGATAACAATGGGACATCTCAACTCAATAACTGTATGCAATTCCTTTGTTTTGTGCCTTGAATAGGAAAAATATGGACTTGTCAGTGCTGGGATATCAATGTCCTGATTTGTATAATGAGTGACAAAAACCTCTGTGGTGCCGTGTTTTCGGCTCTGCTCATCAGTGGTCCAATGAAATGAAATGCAACTCATTTTTTTAAAAACAAATTGAAAATGATAAAATAAGACTCCTAAGACTTAACCCTCTTAAGATTAAGTCTTTTTTTTTTTTCGGTAACAAATTAAAGTCCTAATAAGAGAGTTAACAACCTTATTTTTTAATCCTTTGTCATTTAAAAAACTGAACAATAAAAATCTAAAATTAATTATTGGGAAAGTTTTGTGAGGTCCAACAAAAAGTTATAAGGGAAAATAACAATAAAATACCACTTGAATTCCAAAAAGACAAATAAGGGATCTCAATAAGCAAAATGACAAATAGGGCACTGGGTACCAATCTGGAATTTTGATTTTTGATGTCAAAACATGTTGCAAAACTCATTGACAAAGTAGTAACTCTCACTATGAAAGTTGTAAATTCCACTATGTGTTTTGTAAAATTCAGCGTGGAATTGTATTGTTTTTCACAGAAAAGTTGCCTAACCCCTCAAAACAGGTTGCAAAAGCCATTGACCAAGTAGTAATTCTCATTATGAAAGTTGTAAATCCCACTATGTGTTTGTAAAATTAGGCAAAACTTACTCGGCCCTTCAAAACAGGTTGTAAAACCCATTGATTTGAACCTTTTTAGTCGCCTTGGGTTAAATCAAAAATAAAACCAAATTATGCAGTAAAGCACAACTCGGGTCGAGTCTCTTGAGGAGCTTTTTATTAATTCCTTAATTAACTAAGTGACAAAGAATTGAAAGGAGGGGTTGAAAAAGGATTTTTCAATTAATAAAACTAATTAAGAGAGTAAGAAATAAATCTAAACTACTTTTTTTTTGGTATTTTTAAGAAAGAATGAAAAATGCAAGTTTGAATTGTAAGAAATCAATAACAAGAATGCTCTTGAGGAATGAATCAATGACTATCCTAGCTTGTTTAATGATATGGGAGTAACTTAAGTGGTTAAGATTGGTTTATATAAGTTATTCCTTTTAAATTAATACTCAACTAGAACATTAATTACTTGTTAAATTCACTTCAAGCATAATTTCTACACAACTCGCATAAAAATCACACTAACAATGAATTAACAAAGGCATAAACATAAATATATGTATAAACCAAGTACTCAAACTTATAAATACCAATCCAAATATCAGCAATTCCAATCCAAACCAAGAATTACAACTAGCAACTCTTAGCTTTAAACCAAATATAACAAACTTCAAACCAGAAATCATCAACAAAATAGTCTAAACTAAGGACTAAAATTAAACTCCCCTTTGTAGCTCCCAAACTCAAGCCATTGAATTCAATCCCGAAGAGCACAGTGAATTTAGCCTCTCATAGCTCTGAACCAAGCTACAACTCGTGCCAAAGATAAAGTAGCCATGGAGGATAGATGGAGGGGAAGAAAGATGAATTTGGAAGATTGAAATTGAAGTGTTGCGACAGTGGAGTATGCGTGTGATGCGAATATGGCTCTGTGGTCTTGCGTGCGGCTGTGAAGGACGTGAAGGGGTGCGCGGTGGCGTGAGGCGTGGTTGCGTGTATGGCCTGCTCTTGCAATGGATTTAATATATAACCTAATATCTTTCCAAAATCCATGCCTTCCCTCTCTTCCGTCCTTTTCTTTCTTTCTTTTTTTAATTCTTTTTCTTTTGTTTCAACTTTCCTTCTATGTTTATTTCCTTTTCTGAGACCTGCAAAAGATAAATTGAAATACTATCATAAAGCCCAAAATCAATTATTTAAAAAGAGATAAAATATGATAAGATTTTCTTTTAAATTTCTAATTTTGTGCAATCAGTATTTGATTCAAAATACCCACAATTAATGCAATTTATCCCACTTTAATTGATAAATATCTCCAAAAAGATATCAAATAAGATATTAAAATCAAGATTTATCAACTCCCCCACACTTGAACTTTTGCACTCCTGGGCGAAACAATCAATTACATGAAAAACTAAGACTAACACCAAGAGCAATTAAAGAGTTATACAAATTCATGGAAAGAATATAATAGTCTGATAAATGACATCCAACAAGCTAGCAAAATCCATAGTTAAAACCAATGCAAAGAATTAGTTAAGTATGCAATCAACCTTGAAAGTGAATAAATGAGAGAAAGCTCTCAAGAATAATAATATTTCACTCATGTCACCTTATTAGGGTAATTTTCACTCAGATCTACTTAATTCACACTCTATCATAGGCTTGTAACAACTCTACTGTCTCAATTACTACCACAATTATACAATACATCATGAGGACTTTAAAGGGTTGTAATGATGGAATTAGGCCACATGGAATGAATGAGAAAAATGACAAGAACTATGCATGCACATATGAATGATAAGCATCTTAAATACTACTAGATATTTT